GAGAAGTGGCACACCGTGGAGAGCCTTGAACGTGCCCCCTCTTTGTGCCCAGAAGGAACCAGGACGGCTGTCTGCACCAGGGGACTGACCTTATAGGTAGTGAGCTCCCCATCACTGGCATGTCCAAGCACACAGGTGCCATTCAGTTTATCCTGCTGACACTTAGCACCTACGCAGTCTGACCATCCACCGGGGGCAGGCGTGTTATGGAGACTTGGATCTCTCCTCAACCCACAGTAGAGACAGGATGACCAAGCCTGAGGTCCAGGGCAGAGCAAGTCTGGGCGTAGGGGGTGAGCAAATTCTGCTGGGCACCAGGAAGCCTTCAGAGACGAGGAGTGTTGGAGACACAACCACGTAAGGTCAGGGGTGGTGTGTTAAGCAGACACACCCAGGGAACCACTTCTCGTTGCCATGATTGGGCTTGAAGCGTCCTCACTGAGAGAAGCCAGATCACAGAAGAGCAGGGCAAGGCCTTGGATCCATGCTTATCAGGCATCGAATCTCTCTTCTTCCTGTTTTATAGCATTAGGCATATCCCTTCTCCTCCCTAGGCCTCCATTTTCTCATCTGAGCATCTGTCTGGTAGGAATACTGCCCCCAGGGTGGAGCTCTGGCGCAGATCTGTGAGGACAGACCCTGAGCGCCCCGGCTGGCAGCGAGGACTGGCCTCTATGTCCAGGCTGCCAGCCCTGCGCAGCCAACCCTGATGCTCGGCCCTGGTGGGGGCGTGGGGCCGTGGGACTCCCACACCGGGGCCTGTCCGTGCATGGAGCAGTTCCAGGGGAGAGAAGGACAAGGGCTGTGTGTGCCTCCAGCGCTCCAGGAGGGCTTCCTGGAGGGCGCAGTCTGCACTTCCTTCTGCTGATAAGACCTGAGCACCTGCCACGGGCCAGAGCCAGAGCTCAGGTTGTCCGACTCCCAGGTGTAGGCTCCCTCTTTGCCGTGCGGGGCCTCTCATCACAGAGTTTTGTGAGTCCTGCGCGGGCCAAGGAACAACGTGTGCCAGGCTGCCCACCCTCAGGAGGGCCGGGGGGTTAAGTAGTTCCCATAGTGCTGTGCTCCAGGTCAACCCATCCTGCCCTAGGCCCGTGGGTAGCCATCTCGCAGACCCAGCTCCTCCAGCTGGTCGCTCCAGCCTTCACTGTGAGTGCCATCTGGGGGCCTGAGCCCCGGGGTGTGAGGGGTATGAAGTGGGCATCAGGCCCCTCATCCAGCCCCTAGAGAAGTTGGTAATGCCCACAGGCTGCCCAAAGGGATTCTGAGACGACGGTTTCCTGTCCAGCTTGAGGGAGGCCTGTGTTTGGACCACAGTGGAAAACGGGTACAGAGGGGGCAGCCCCCTCTTCCCTCCTGCTTAATCTCAGGGCTTTGTCGTTTGGGAGTGGGGAAAAGAAATGTTTACACGGCCTTGCATTTGTTTCAAATTATTCATCAGTGTTTGAGAGTCATTGTTCCCGGCTAGTGTAAACAACACTGTCCCTCGGCCAGCTCACTGAAGTTCTGTCAATGTGCAGCGTCTACAGCCCTCTGGCTCCTGGCTCCCAGGGAAGTGGGGAGAGGGGCCAGGTCGGATGGGTGGCACCGGCAAGCTCCTTCATGGTGGGGTCCGAGTAGCGTTTTCACACCATGAATTCTCGAGGGCCTGTATCTGTTTCAGTTTTTTTTTTTTTTTACCAATGGTACCTTTGCTAGAGCTGGGGAAGCCGAGGCACGGAGCAAAGACTCTGAGAACCACGGGAAGAGCAGCAAAGAACATGATTTGAAGGGGGTCTGGACTGGGTCCCAGAGCAGATGTCATCATTACACGCGCATCAGCACCAGTGCCTCTCTGGGGCGTTCCCGGGAGGGGGACGGGACCAACCCCAGGTGTGCCGGGGCACTCCGTGCGGGACTCGTGGCAGGCTGGCTCTGGCTCTGCATTTGCGTCGGGGCTTCACAGACACGTTCAAGGTGACACCCAGCTCAAGCTCACGTTAGGAGGAGCTGGTTCTTTGTAGCATTAGCCTGAGTGTGCTTGCTGGCACAGCCAGCTTCGTGGTGGGCAAAGGCATGAGCTCAGGAGGCGGACAGCAGGTTTAAGTCCTGCCTTCGCTCCGAGCAGCTGTGTGACTTGGCTCAAGTGACTTCGGTCGTCTGTGCCTTGGTGTCCTCCTCTATACAATGGAGGCGTCCCACAGCCTGTCACTCAGGGCTGCTACAAGGGTGCAGTGAGTTGCTATTTGGGAGGCCCCATGCCTGACACATAATGAACACTCGAGGGACGTTAACTCCACGTTGTTATTGGTAGGATGAACAAGACTTGGCGCCTGGCTTAGAGCCCGTTCATGGTCTAGTGCAGGCAGGGGAGGGATGCCCGGAAGCAGACACTGCAGAGGGGAGGGGAGATGCCCCCAGCAAGGGTGACATTAGCCCTGGGCCCTGAGGGAGCCACCACTAAGTAAGACTCTGTTGAGTGGAGAAAGGTCTTCAAAATAATCCCTCTCTGGCCTTCCCAGCTCCCCTGGGACCCCACTCTGTCTCTTCTCAGCAAGAGCCACCTTTCCCATTTTAACTGTAACGGTTGGTGGCTTTTAGAGTTCAGATCTCTGTCCCCCTCCCGGCCGCCACACAGCTGACATTTGAGCTTGCTGGAGATAATGGCCTGCCTCGGCGCTGGCCTCAGAAGCAGCTATGTGGTCTCTTGGGTGGTGAAGTGGGCCATTGTCCCTAAGCCTCAGTAGGACCCAGCTGACGTCGTTCCAGAGCTGAGTCCTCTCCTGGTTCAGTGCAGGTCAGTCCACCTGGTTCTTGACATTTTCACATCCTTCAGGTTCCAGTACTGAAAGATGGCTGCGTTAAAAAGAACAGCATAAAAAGCTTAGTGCCAAAGTGTGTGTGTGTGTGTGTGTGTGTGTGTGTCTGTGTGTGTGTGTGTGTGTGTGTTGTGGGTCAGCGGATTGGCTAGAAGCAGCCAGTAGCTCACCTTGCCTTTTGGTTTCATGTTTTTGCCTATCAAAGTGACAATGCAGACATGGCACATTAAGGTTTAAGAAGCCCTTCTTTCATTAAACAAACTGACAGCGTAGGGGGTTATGACTTCGGTAATTGAAACATGCTGTTCTGTTCAAGACCAGAACTCCATAAAGCCTCTTTTCAGCCAATAGCACCCTTTGTGCCAGCAGCCTCTGGTCAAAACTGAGTGTCGGCCCTGAGGTCTGTCTCTCCCAGAGAGTGGGAAGACCACTTAGCGACCTTCTGCAGCTGTCTTGGCAGCCGGAGGTTAGGGCCTTTTAAAAACTTCCCCATTCTCTAGACTTTTGAAATCAGTTTGCAAGGCAGAAGGCAGGCCGCCCTGTCCTCTAGCCTCTCCGGGGCTGCCAAGTCTTGTGTTACTGGTTATAAATCTGAGGTGTGATTGAAGAAAGAGGGGACATTAGAGTTTGGTTGGCGAGGCTCTGTGTATTGGGGGGAGACAGTGCAGCTCGCACAATCTTCCTAGAGAGGGAAAATCCAGCAGTATCCGTGAGATCACAATTTGGGAATCACACTACCAGGTGGGACCTCAGACAGGTGACTTTGCCCCTCTGGACCTCAGTTTCCTCATCTCTAAAATGGGCTAATACCTGGATCTGATTTACAGGGTTGCTGTGGGGATTAAAGGAGTTGGTACAGGTCAGACACCTAGAGTGGTGCGGGTCGCACCGGATCTGAGGGGCAGCTAGCATTACAACCGTTGTAACTGTCTACCTCTACGGAGTAACTCTGTGGGGTACTGTTGTGGAGTACCATGTAGAGTATGTCCAGGGAGCACTACCGTAGAGTACCACCGTGGAGTTACCACTATGGAATATCACCATAGTACAGCTCTGTGTGGTGTTGCTGTGGAGTACCACATGGAGTACCTTTGTGGAGTATCACTGTAGTATCGCTCTGTGCAATACCACCATGGAGTACTACCAAGGAGTACCTCTGTGGAGTATCACTGTCGCGTAGTTCTGTGCAGTACTGCTGTGGAGTATCACATGGAGTATCATGGTAGTATGGCCCTTTATGGTGCCACCATGCAGTACCACATTCAGTAGGTCTGCGAAGTATCACCATAGTATTGCTCTGTGCAGTGTCACCATGGAGTACCACATGGAGTACATCTGTGGAGTATCACCATAGGATAGCTCTCTAAAGCATCACATGGAGGGGCGCCTGGGCGGTTCAGTTGGTTAAGCATCTGCCTTCGGCTCAGGTCATGATCCCGGGGTCCTGGGATCGAGCCCCGCGTCGGGCTCTCTGCTCCTCGGGAAGCCTGCTTCTCCCTCTCCCACTCGCCTTGCTTGTGTTCCCTCTCTCGCTGTCTCTCTCTCTCTGTCAAAATAAATAAAATCTTTAAAGTACCACATGGAGTACATCTGTGGAGTATAACTAGTATCATTCTATGCCATACCATAGGGTACTGCCAAGGAGTACCTCTGTGGAGTGTCACTATCGTGTAGTACTATGGAGTACCACATGGAGTATATCTGTGGAATATCACTGTAGTATAGCTCTGTGCAGTACCACTATGCAGTACCATCATGGAGTACCTCTGTGGAGTGTCACTGTACGATGTAGCTCTGTGGAGTACCACATGGGGTACATCTATGGAGTATCCATAGTTCACTCTGTGCAGCATTACCATGGAGTACCACATGTAGTACATCTGAGTACTGCTGTAGTAACATTCTGTGCAGTACCACATGGAGTACTTCTGTGGAGTATCACCGCAGTGC